TGCCAGGAGGGCGGGCGGATCGCGCCTCCGGCGTGTGGGGCCAGGCAGAGCCGGCGGACGGGCCTTGCCGAGGCAGCTGCGGCCTGGAAGGTGGTTCCCGACGTAAACGGGGACGGTAGCAAAAACGGCTGAGGGAGTGGTGGGGCCAGCTCGGTTCGGCACCGCACGGAGGGGTTTCATCTGCCCGTGGCCTGGGGTTGGACCTGGTCCCGAGGGTGCGGGGACATCCCCAGTAAAAGCTGCAGAGTGTACGCCATTGCCTGATGCAAGAGCAGGGCAAAGATTTCCCCAAGTCGCTCCTCGGTTGGACCGTTTCTGACTCCGAGCGCAGTTTTGTGGCCGGGTGGATCCCGCCTGTGGGCTCGAGGGTGAGACCCGGGCCTGCCGAGCGCGTGAGGTGGTGTGGGCAGGCCCCTGTTCAGAGTTCATGAACCGGGAGAGCCCACGGTGCTCCTGCCTGCGCTCCCGGGAGACCAGGGCCTCGTCCTGCTAAAGGAACTCAAGCACTTTTCAAAAAGCAAAGTGGTAAAATCACATGTGGAGGAGACCCAGACTTTTGAGGAGGCCAGAAAGATCCAAAAAATTCCTAAAAACCAAACGGATGGAGGAAAATTCAAAAGCAATATAAAGAGAAGGAAAAGAAGCTTCCTCCCTGCTGTTTTTCCTTCGATTTAATTAGGAATTACTTTCCGTAATGGAAATACAGAACTTTTTCATTGGCTCCTTGCCCCGCTTGCCATTTAGGCACCATCACGGTGGAAAAACATTAAATAATAATAACTCGAGCCATCTGTCAATACTAAGACCTGCCACGCTGCACAGACAGTTGAGGCACCAGGCCAAATTCCTCCCAGCGTCCCGACTGCCTCGTTGGTGCTCACGCTCCGGTTTGGTCCCTCCCCGGTCACTTGTGACAGCACCTACCCTGCGGAGCAGTTTTTTTCTATAAATATGAGTGGCCTGAGGTGCAGGACATACCTCAAGGGGAAATTATAGGCAAGGTAATAAGTAGTGGTGAACTCCTAGGAAATTGCTGTTTCTGTGGCTTGCACATACCTTCTGGTGGGAGGGAGAAGGGGAGGCACGAAGCCAATATGTTTTCCCCACAGCGTGAAACTGGGAACATCTGTTCAGTGACTAAGATAAGCAGGAGGGCCACGTTCCATTTATTTCCCTCCGCCATTGCCTGGGACTGGAGCCACAGCTCAGAGACAGGAATTCCAGCCCAAGCAGCAAAATTATGGAGGTACTTTGGCTTTCCAGCTTTGCCTTGGAGAATTACGGGGAATGCTGCTGGATGCAAGTGCTGGAAAGGCGGGGCCCCTTCCATCCTGCAGAACCCCTCATCGTGGGGAAGGAGGTGCGGGGGGCTTCCCTAAAACTCCACTGTGCCACCCCACAACCTAAACACGTGTGTGCAATGGTGCGAGGCAGCCGCATCAGTGCCGAGACTGACCCTTTTAATTTCTTAGGGATGACAAAAAAAGCAAGGCGGCCCTCTTCAGTTTTCGGCCTGCAATATTTGACCCCTTTGCTGCTTAAATGAATGTGTATCTTCATAAAAAAATACACTGTCCTCAGGTCAGGCGTGAATTGAAGCTTTGACATTCAAAGAGCTACAGTCCTGAAGGAGCGCTTGTAGTTCAGCCCGAAGGGAACCCGCCCACAGCACTCGGGCAGCGCTCTGGGTTGTATTTCTTTCCTGTGCTAATTTTACTAAAGACACAACTCATATTCCTGTTGATTGAACAGTTTTGTGTTGACAGCATTGAAGATTTGTGGTGAAACTTATCATCAGCCCGGAGAGCGGGCCATTAGTACTAGTCACCGCGGCCGGCTAGTGCTGATATATTTTATGGCACGCTTCGAAGACAAACATACACATTTATATGTCACTTGTTGCAATATAAATGCTAACTTGTACTTCTTTCAAAACTTTTAATGAATTGTATACATTTCACAAGATTTATAGCGTGAACCGAATGGTTCAAAATATTACTTTAAACATATTTGTCACTTTGGCAACAGAACAAAAAAAAAATCTGGAAGATATTGCGTTTAGAAATAAATCATAAATATATGCATCTTAAAAGAGTTTATTTCGGTCATTAATAGTTGATGGGCCCCCCCAGTGCAGGATTTAAAGTTAAATTATGCAAAATCAAAAACAAACCTTATAATACTTAATCAAACATGCATAAAACTGTCAGGGCCAAATAAATTCTCTCAATTAACTTGCTTCAGATTGTGATTGCATTTACTAATTTAATCAACACTAGAATAATTTGGAGACTGGGTAATGATAAATTACTATGGTGCTGCACATGAAGGGCCGCTAAGGTAGTGTGCTGAGACAAGAATGCAAGAAACACTCTCTAGGCTGAGGGCAAAAAAGTAACAGCTGAGTTGTCACCATCAGTTTATAATGGAAAGTTCTTCTTATTCCCATTTGGGGAGGAAATTTTTTCCAGTGAAGAATTTAAATGCCCGTCATGGATAGACCTTGTCTGGTTGAATGACTTCAGTGTTAGCCCACAGAGTCAATCTCATTTCAACCTGAGATGAGTGAAGAAGTCAAGCCTAGGTTGGCGTTCCCTCCACATTTTTTTAAATCATTTTGTGAATGTAATCTTTTGCTCTGAACGCAAGGCCAGGAACTGTGACTTCCAGCCCTGCTTTCTGGCACCGATTCGTACTTTAGCCTCGGTCAAGTCACTTAGGCTGGAGCTGGAGTAACAACCCTGTCATACTGAGATGTCCTTTACCTCAATCCTTTTGCGCTTTGAATGGATCTGCACTTACAATAAAATGGGTCTGACCCCTGTCTAGAAAAAGCTTTCAATAGTATTACTTGTGGAGAGCTAAACATCTCATTTTTGCAAGCGTAAGCAAGGTTTTATGGAGAGGTTCTCATTTACAGGTTCATGTGAAGGAGGCTGTAAGGTATTTGACCCTATAAAATACCTGGACCTCTGAAAATCAGACCCTTAGTTGGTCTGGTTTACAAAAAAACCACAATGTCCATATAGCTGCTGTAGGAATTAACTTGTTGCAAAACTCTCCCTTTCTTCTTTTTTTTTTTCCCCTCTCTCTCTGCAAAATATAATTTCCAGAGGGTGAGCATTTTTGGGTCACCTTTGATTTGAAGCAAGGCTTGTGCTTTATAAGTGTGTAACACCAGCACTATTTGGTCCCCAGTAGAAATAAGTAAATAAAAATCTCTGTACTCAAAAAGTATATCCAGAAAGATAGGTAACAGTTTTCCTCTGATGACTGAGAAACAACTACTTCCACAGTAATTCTATAGCCATATAGATAGCCATAATTCTTAAGGTCTTAAAGATAATAAATGTGTTAACATGGTATTTTTCAAACCAGCATTCACTGCTGCCTTCCAGTCGTATCCAAAAACACCGTTCAAAACCAACGGCGTCTTGTGCAAACTCCCTTGGGTTTTGCTGAGCCAGCCTGTAAAGCTGAAATATAACAAATTAAGGAATTAATTCTTTCCTTTTCCTTAAAGGAGATTTAGGGTCAAGTCCGGGCCTTAAATTTTAAACGTAATCGATCCTCCCTGCAAATCTAAAGTGCAAAAGCTTGTGAAATAATTTTTCCTTATTACTTCTTTCCAGATCTCATCTCTTAGCTGAAATGTCAGCTTTAATCAGTTCGGAGAGATTTGCATGTGGTAAATAACAATGCAGTATATTAGACTAATCAAATAAAAATACGTGTAGCAGAAAGTGGAACCAATCCCCACTTCTGCAGAGCTGCAATATCTGCGTGCAGCCCCCGAGCAGCACTCAGAGCCCCGGGCAGTCAGCGGGGCTGCATGCGACAGCCTCGGCTTGTGTTATCTGGGGTTTTGGCAGGATTAGAAACCAAACCCCTGACTGAAATACCCACCGAAGGCTGGAAAGCGTCAGTGCCAGGTACAAATGGAAATCCCAGCGCAGATGGTAAGGTTGCAGAGCACAATGAGGGCAGGCTGCCGGGTCCCTGCAGGAATCCGAGCTCCTGTAATACTTTTTATGGATATATATATTACAGGTGACTCCTGAAATATAAAAGTAGACCAGTCTGCAGTTTCTAAAGAAATAAATGATTCGTGTGAGGCATGGTGAGACAGTAATGTTTGATGTATTCAATATCCGTGACATATCGGCACGCTTTCTGGCATAATAATCGGGCCGGTGCTGCCGCCAGCCTTTGCTGCACTAAAAAGCAGACAAGGCCAGAGGGGGGAGCTGGGGGCAACCTGCCGCCCTTCTGCCCCTTCAAACTGCTGCCTCCCCACCACATGAAACCGGACAGAACGAGCAAGACCAGTGCCAGTGTGGGTGGCATCCCAGTGAACCCACGAGAGGTCGGTATGCATTAAAGATGTGTGTCATCCTGCAGCAGGGACACTAACTGTAGTGAAAGACAGAGCCTCGCTAGCCCAGCTATTCCCCCACCTCTGGAGAACGGGGAGGTAGTTTTTTTAAAGGTGCTGGAGTCATGGAAAGATTCCTCCTGACCGCCGGGAGCTGGAGCAGGAGCCAGCTGCACACATATGGTGGGTGAGAAACTGTCTCTAAAACAAATGAAAATAGAATCGATCCCTTTGCCAGGGACAGGACTCCTGCCAAAGCTTGTTGCTGCATCATGTTGGCTAGCCCTGATCTGGCTGATGTCAGAAACTGCCTATTATGCAGAAAACTCTCATGGAGAAGTGTCGTTATTGCCTTCTGTTCATTTGTAGGCTAGGTCTAATGCAAGCACGAGGCGTTAGAACAGACCCAATCCATATCTGCCTTGCGGAGCTGCGGTTTGGTGGGCAGGCTCGGGAAGCCTCCCAGCTCCTCTGGCTCTGCCAAGCACTTCTCAGGGGGTGATATTTCAGGGCAAAGTAACA